CTGCTTGGCAGATCTCACTAATCCCCTCCCTTAAAAATCCTCTTTCCCCTCCCCCTCAGCTTTTAGATGGCCTGTTGCTGCTCTTCCCTTGTACTGGCAAATCACTTGACTTCGTCAAGCCAGCAGGCAATGAGAAATCCCTACCAGCCTTGTGCCGCCTTGTCTTCTCTTGCCTTGCCCCATTGGGTGAGAAAGAAAAGGCAAGTCTTGTCTTGCCTTGCCCCATTGGGTGAGAAAGAAAAGGCCAGTAAATTGGCAGCCAGAGGGGCAAGACAGTTTTGTGGATCCCCTGGCCAAGCAAGATCCAAGCCTCTTAGAGTTATATAAAATTGCCAGGATATATAGAAACTCTTTTCTTGGGCAGCAAATTGTTTTTGCAGCCCACTTCCTAGTCTTGGGAAGAATAGCTGCAAAGGAAGATGCTCCAACACTGGAAGTTTTTAAGAAGAGACTGGACAGCCATTTGTCTGAAATGGTATAGGGTTTCCTGCTGCCTGAGCAGGGGGTTGGACTAGATGACCTCCAAGGTCCGTTCCATCATCATCATCATCATCATCATCATCATCATCATCATCATCATCATCATCATATTATTATTATTATTATTATTATTATTATTATTATATTATTATTATTATTATTATTATTATTATTATTATTATTATTATTATTATTATTATTATTATTATATGCCATGGCAATATGGCTTTTGGTTGGATTTATTGGGGCTGCTTCTTCATTTTCTTCTTCTTGGAAGCAGAAAATATATTTGCACAGACGTCCTAACCTTCAACCTAGCTGCCTTGCATATTATAGATTGTGAGATCCTATAATTCTTTTCCCCCCTTTTTTTTAACGAAAAAAAGTTATTTTAAAAGTTAGTTTTTAAAACAGATTATTGTAATAACCATACAAAACAGAGTTACAATCGCTATCCATCCCCAGCTGTGTGCCTTCCCAATATTTTGAACTACATTTCCCATAATTAACTGCGCTTTTGGCCATGCTGCCTATGAATTAGAAGGTAAGGGAAGCCTGTGGCCTCCTCAAAAGTAAAGATCACACAGCCCAAAACATTAGCTGATTAAGTCAGGGGTGTCAAACTGCCGGCCCATGGGTCAGATGCGTCATGCTGAAACCACGCCCACCCCATTGCTGGCAATGGAAAAAAAGTCACGCTACGTCGTGACACATCACATGACGTTGCGAGTTTGACATCCCTGGATTAAGTCTATTAGCCTGTATATTATTACTTGTAAGTAAGTCCTATTGAATTCAGTGAGCTTACTTTTAAGTAACCACAGGGGACTGTGTTACAGATAGTACTAGTAGTAATGATTAATAATAATAATAATAATAATAATAATAATAATAATAATAATAATAATAATAATAATAATAATAAAAAGTTGGAAGGGACCTTGAAGGTCATCTAGTCCAACCCCCCACTCAGGCAGGAAACCCAATACCATTTCAGACAAATGGCTGTCCAGTTTCTTCTTAAAAAACTTCCAGTGTTGGAGCATTCACCGCTTCTGGAGGCAGGTTGTTCCACTGGTTAATTGTTCTAACTGTCAGGAAGTTTCTCCTTAGTTCTAGGTTGCTTCTCTCTTTGATTAGTTTCCATCTGTTGCTTCTTGTCCTGCCTTCAGGCGCTTTGGAGAATAGCTTGACTCCCTCTTCTTTGTGGCAGCCCCTGAGATATTAGAACACGGCTATCCTGTCACCCCTCGTCTTTCTCTTCATTAAACTGGACATACATAGTTTTCAACTTAACGACGACAATTAATACCAGAATTTCTGTTGTTAAGCAAGGCATTTCTTAACGAGCCATGCCCAATTTTACAACCTTTTTTTGACCAGGATTGTTAAACAAATCACTACCTTTATTTATTTTTATTTATTTGTTATTAATTTATCTGCCATCTATCTCACTCTGGGGCTACTCTAGGTGGCTTACCATAATAAAAAGTTGTTAAGCGAATCATGCAGTTATTAAGTGAATCCAGCTTCCCCCCCATTGACTTTGCTTGCCGGAAGCCAGCTGGGAAGGTTGCAGATGGTGATCCCGTGACACCCCTGGGATGCTGCAACCACTGTAATGCCGGTTGCCCAGAGCCCAAATTTCGCTCATCTGATTGTGGGGAATGGTACGACGGTTGCAAGTGTGAGGACTAGCTGTAAGTCACTTTTTAATACTGTTGTATCTCTGAATGGTCACTCACCGAATGGTTATAAGTCAAGGATCACCTGAGTATAATTATCACATGCTTCTTCGGTAGAGTAGGGAGCAAGCAAATGCTAAACAGTAGTAGCAAACAGAGTCAGGGCCAAAAAAAATCTGTGTTTCTTCGATATAAGTGGAGCCTTTTTGGGGGGGGGAACAGCCTTCTGTTTAATTCAAACGCTGAGACGCAGCTTCTCAAACAGAGGTCCGCTCACGTGAGAGAGCTCTGGATTCTCCGAGCCCAAAGTGGGAACCTCAAAGCAACAGGCAGGCAACCGTCTACCCAGAAGTGAAGATGGCACCATTCACCACAGATCAGCCTGGAGGGCAGAGTTGAGGGGAGGGGGGGTGTCAGGCCGGCAGTTCCCTGTCAATTACAGCCGGTGAAGGGAATGACCTCTGGCATCCAGGCGGCCGGTTGGAGCATCTGTGTCTCAGAGCTGAAGTGGGGGGGGGGGAGAGAGAGAGAAGAGAGAATGCCGAGGAAAAAGGAAGGGAAGGCAATCTGGAACCCATAAGCTCCCTTGATGTTTGCATTATTGTGCACGGTTGTATTGGTCTGCACACAGTCCCTCCCCTCAAACTCCCTACCCTATCCGTAAAGGGCTTTAAGAGACTTTTAGCAATGTCCCTCCTCTCTTTAAGCCCTAAAGGAGGGGGGAAAGGAAGGTGAATAAGCAGATCACTGAAGGTTGGAGCAACAAAAAAATCATTTGAAGCCTTCCAAATATCAGCTCTTTGGGGGATCCCCGTCCTGGAGTTTGCTCAACCTGATTGGCTTTACATGCACTGTGGCCTGCTGCTAGGTCCAGCTCCTCATCCTGGGCACGGAAAGGAAAGGGAGGCCGACTTGGAGAAGATGAAAGAGGAAAGCATGTGTCCAGACTCACCGGAGGGCAGCCTGGGAACCAGTGAGGAGGAAAGTGAGAAGGTGCCCAAGAAAAGTCTTCGGAAGAGGAGCCAGCTGGGTAAACCCTTGACTTCAGCCCCGCCAGAGTACAGCAGCAGCCCTTTGCCACAGGGGAAGCGCAGCAAGCGCAGTCCTGTGTCCCAGACTTTTGAGGACATGCACACGCAGCGGGTGATTGCCAATGTGCGGGAGCGTCAGCGCACCCAGTCGCTCAACGACGCCTTCGCTGAGCTGCGCAAGATCATCCCCACCCTGCCTTCAGACAAACTCAGCAAGATCCAGACCCTCAAGCTGGCTGCCCGTTACATTGACTTCCTCTACCAGGTCCTGCAGAGTGACGAGCTCGACCACAAGATCTCCAGTTGCAACTACCTGGCCCATGAGAGGCTCAGCTATGCCTTCTCTGTTTGGAGGATGGAAGGGGCCTGGTCCATGTCAGCATCCCACTGAGGTCCAACAGCAGGTAGGTTTCCTCTTGCGTCCCACTCCTTTTTTTTCTCCCCCCCCCCAGCTGCCTCTTGTCCTTTTCCAGCATTACAACTCCCCTGGAAAAATCCCAGTGGTGGCAGAGGACAAAGCTCTCTCTTTCTGGTTTCGGAATCAGGATGTAGCATTTGACCGTGCATTAATGCTAACCCCCCCCCCCCAAAATAGAGTGACTTTGACCATGGGCAGAGTGTCAATTCCACCACTAGGAAACAACTCAAGGCAACTGCCCCACAGCTGGAATTAGGAATAAGTGTTTCCAGGTCCGAAGACCTGATCTCCAGATTGACTTGAGATCCTGGCAATGTCCAGCTGCGACAGGCAGGCCGATTGTTTTTGGAAAAGAGCTCTGAGAGTGATATATCTGGAGATTTTGCTTTCACTTTTGTTCCACCATCACCTGTCAGCATAACCCGCTTAGTAGGCGGAGGCAACAGGTTGGACAACAGAGACCCCTACCAAAGGCAAACAATATTGCCTCCCTGACATCTCCCCAAACAAAAGAACCTATTAAGCGTGTGTTTCCAGTCTGAAAAAAATATCTATTTTTAAGCCTTTGGGCAAAGCTCCAAGCATTGCAGCCCAAAGCAAATGTTTTTTTGAAAGCAAGCCCTATTGAAGTCAGTGGGAATGACTTCAGAAAGAACATGACACAATTGCATAGCGTGAACATATCGACTGATTTTCTTTTTCCTTTCTTTAAAGGCCCGGTTTTGTTGGATGTGATCTAAACATGTCCTTTAGTCGAACTGTTCTGGAATCACAGCATCAAAACTGATCTCAGCCTATCGGGGGGAGGGGGGGAGAAGCTTTGCTCCTAGGTCTCTGCCATCTCACCTGCATTTTTATTTGATCTGCTTAGATTTACTTGTCGTGGAAAGTAGCAAGCATGAAAGGTATCCAACTTTGAAGGCTTTGTCATTTCTATAGTCTTTCCGGAGAGCATTTTTGCGTACAGAGCGCTGTAGTGCTCCCTTCTAAAAACAGAAATCTATATGCATCCAAGTCCCCTTCAAATCATTATCTATCACCATATCTTTCACCCATCATTTCTATAAAGGTTTAGTCTTTTTACCCATTTGTGTGTGTGTGTGTGGGGGGGGTTATCTGTGAGAAAATCCACTGTTGTCTCAATATACTGATAAAGAGTAGGTGTTGATTAGAGTATAGATTTCCAGTGGAGTCTTTCTGGTGACCCTGTGCATCAGAAATAGCAGGGCTTGTTGGTTTGATGTAAACAAAGAGGGTTGCGTTATTCATTTCAAATAATACATACATAAACACACATGCACACATATGTGTGTTGTGTTTGTGTGTGTATTATTTGAAATGAATAGCGCATCCCTCTAAGGGTCCACTGGAACTCTTCTGTTTTGGTTGCCCAAGCATTAATGTGGATTAAACTCCAGACAACCCACAAGTGTCAATGACTTTAGATCAGGAATACCTAAATAACCACAATTTTTCTGCTTCTGATGAAATGCCAACCTAGGATATTTTGTTGCCTGAAGCAATATACAAATTCCTGCTCCGTTTCCTTGCGGGATCAAGGATTTAAACATATTTAAACATATAAACATATCTTAGCTTTCATTCGCCTTTTTGAAGGAAGCAATTTCCACGGGACAGGCCTTTAAACTTGTGGCTGCCCAGGAGATGACTATCCTGAAAGGTGATCGCATTCTGAAATCACTATTGCTACAAATAAAGTTCTACAGCCAGTAGAGCAGAGGTCCCCAAACCCCAGTCCGTGGACCGGCACCGGGCCATGGCATGCCAGAAACCGGGTCGCGCAAACAAGCAAAGCCTCATCTGCAGAATGCAGGTAGCATACAAAACCATGCCCCCCTCTGGTCCGTGGAAAAACCTCTCTCCACGGAACTGGTCCCTGGTTCCCCAAAGTTTGGGGACCACTCCAGTAGAGTGAAAATTATGCAGGTATACATATATGAGCTCTGATAAATTGCAAAATGATGCACAATATGGTAAAAGGCATATACAGTGTGCAACTTAAAAGAGACCACTTAATGACAAATAAATGACATAGGTTTAAAAAATGAAAGCTGTAGTTTTATACATACTTACATGTAAGCCCAATTTACCTCATCTAGAAACTACACAAATTACATAAAATGATACTATAAATCCTCTAGCCAAACCAGGCATCTTTACAGGTTGACTATTGAGGGGTTGAGGGGAGGAAGAACCCTGGAAAAACTACGTAAAATAAACAAAGTTTCCATTAATCATTCACAAGATCACTATATATTTTTTTCCTGCTGTATCTTTCTTTTTAACCGGCCATTCCCTGTAGCAGCTTCCAATACCTTTAAAAAGGGTCAATTCTGATTTTGCAATACAGTCAAAATCAAAAAGTATCCAATCAGTTTTTTTTTAAAAAAAGATTGCGGAATGTTTAATATACAGCAGAAGCAAATATGAATTTTGATTATGCTAGTCAAAAGCTATGCTACATTCTTGCCGAAGCAGATCGTTACAAAGATAAGTTTATAGTGGAAAAGCTCTGGCCCTGGAAGGATGCATAGAGAAAATATTTACTTCGCTTTCAAACTTCGCAGTTTTGCCAAAACTAGGGATCTGGAAAACTGAAATTATTTCTCTCCCCTCCCCCCATTTTTTCCTTCCTTTTGTAAAAGGGCCATTGGCATCTTACTTTTGACAATGGCCACTCACACAGGAAGGTATTTTCTAAAGCACCAGGCCACATTGCCACATGCTGGAACATTCTTCTTGATGTGTATGACCCATGCATTGCTCAAAATTAGGGACAGGATTGGGAATAAAAAAGAATAATTAGAGCTGAGGGGAAAGGTGGTTGCTCTCCAGGATTGTGTTGGGCAGAGAAGAACCTGGGAAAGGAGACCTGATCTAACTTCCAAAGTCTCCCTTGATGCTGCTTCTGTGCTCTCTTGAACAATAGCGATATCAGAATTTGCTCATTCTCATATATTGAGCAATCTGCTACTCCAGGAAAAAGGGGCAGATAGCTATCAATCCCAGGAGCGTTTTTCTGAGCCTTCAGGATGTGGTTAGGTCCTATTGCAAGTAGATGGGTCGAGACAGTACCAACCCACAAGTTGGTTAAAGTTGAGTCATTCTCTCCTCTTACGAAAAATACAAATAAAATCCCCAAACCAAACAAAAATAGATCAGTGACCAGCAATCTGCTCTAGAACCACTCTTTCCCCTTGGATTTACAGTTTTCATTTACTTTGCATGCTGTAGTTTTAACTCCTTAAGAAATTCACATCAAAAGGAGATGGATGGATGGATGGATGGACGGACGGACGGACGGACGGACGGACGGACGGACGGACGGACGGACAGACAGACAGACAGACAGACAGATAGATAGATAGATTTAAAAAAGAAAGTGGATAGATAGATAGATAGATAGATAGATAGATAGATAGATAGATAGATAGATAGATAGATAGATAGATAGATAGACAGACAGACAGATAGATAGATAGATAGATTTAAAAAAGAAAGTGGAATACAGGCCCCGTCCCAGGCTTCTAAACAAAAAAGTTACGACATGCATGAAAAAGACACAGGAAGCTATAGAGGAGAAGGAATGGAGAGAAGTGAATTCTTTAGGCTCAGAATTAAGTAATAAATTGGCATTTGCATGCAGCTCAAGTTGGGATGTCCTCTCCATGTTGGTGGTCTTACTTGGGTAGAAATTGGTGGCCTTCTGGTCAATATCTGCTGTTCATCATCCCTCTAACATGCAAGTGAGAGATGTGAGCTGCTTGTACTTTGTCCCTGAGATAAAATAAGGGTCATCCTGCAACCTAATCTAGTTATATATACCACTCAAGTAGAATTGTACCCAGGCAACACCTTCTACTTTGCCTGGGTTTAACATTCCCATCTACGCAGAGCAGGGCTTCCAAAGGAATTTAACTTGGCATGTGAACCCCAGCCTTCAGTCCTACTCCAGTTCATGTATTAAACATAATTTCTTAATGATAATGACTGCCAGCAGTTCAGCAGTTCAAGTCTCACCGGCTCAAGGTTGACTCAGCCTTACCATCCTTCCGAGGTCGGTAAAATGAGGACCCAGATTGTTGGGGGCAATATGTTTACTCTATAAACCACTTAGAGAGGGCTGTCAAGCACTGTGAAGCGGTATATAAGTCTAAGCGCTATAGCTATTGCTATTCTTAATAAACAACAGCTGAAATCTGATCATTACTATTTAGGGCATTTGTTTCCCCCCCCTTTGTACTCAGAAAAGAGAAAATATCCTAATCAGACTCAGGGCAAGAGAAAGTCCAGACTTTTTTAGGTCCTGGAACTGCCAGTGTTTCTTTCTGTTATTATATATTTGATATAAAGGCGGCATCTGGAAATTTTTCATGTGAAAATTTGATTGCATGAATAGGCATTGCTCTGCCCAGAGCTTTCCACTGTTTCACAGGCAGCCCTTTCAGCCGATTGCTCACTAATCTATATTGCCAACACAGATGCCTGTTTAGCACACAGTGAATCTTCATTTGTCCATCAGCATCAGTTTGGTGTAGTGCTTCGGGTGTAGACCTAGAAACCAGGAGAGTGTGAGTTCTAGTCCTGCCTTAGGCATGAAAGCTACCTGGGTGACTTTGGGTCCATCACACTCTCTCATCCCAACCCACCTCATAGGGTTGCTGTTGTGGGAAAAATAGGAGTAGGGAATATTATGTTTGCTGCCTTGAGTTATTTACAAAGTAATAGTGGCTGGATAAAAACCAAATAAATGAATAAATCTAAACATGCCATATGTCCTTGGGGAAGATATACATACACTCCTTGGGAAAACACACATGTTATATATGGAAAGTCTTAAGTTCTTCCAGTTAGGTAGAAAAAAAAAGTCCTATCTTGAGCCAGTATGTGTTAAGCTGCTGGACTGGGGAAGATCCAAGTTAAAATCCACCTTTAACCATGGAAGCTCACAGGGTGACTTTGGGC